TCATAATTCATTGCTGGAGGAATTAAGAGCATCCTGTGTGACTTCACTGGGAGAGGTCTCCTGGAAGCTTGCATCTGGTTTCTTCTGGATTTTTCCCCATGCATCTTTTTCCTTTGCTGATTTTGCTTTGTATCCTTTTGCTATAACAAATCACAGCCATGATAATGACTATATGCTGAGTCCTGTGAGTTTTCCTAGTGATGGGAATGATGCCGGGCCTGATATCAGTTCCCCTACGTTGAATCCAGCATATATGGAGTTAAAAACCAAAAAGTACTCATTCCCTTTCGCTACTTCTCTAAAGTACATTCACATGTAGATATTGGTTGTTTTAACCTTTGTATCCCTGAATCCCACAAGGCAAATGGAAGTAATAAATTGTTAAAAGCCCAGGTGGCTGCACACTGAAGCTGTGGCTAATTACCAGTTCTTGAGGTTTGTTACAGGAAAACAGATATCCAGAAATTATCAGGAAGCTGAAGCTTCCCAACTCCTTGGTTTCTTGGCACCAAATACACCATTCATCACGGATACAGAAAAACGGAGGCCAGGATTTTTCCTTATGCAACTTTCCTTATCTCAGCCAAAGGCAGGCTGGTGGGGGGATGCCAAAGTGCAAAGCCACAGCTCTCCCTCCCCTATCTAAAACCTTGTAAACTTTGTAATTATTAATTGGTGGCAGTTTCCTTCCTCTCCTCAGGGCCTAATTTCGGGTGGCGTGGGAAGATTGATCAATGCAGCCCTGAACCTTCTGCTGTAGACAGAGGTAACAGCTGACTCGAGGCCAGAACATCTGCTTGGACCCTTGCACAACTGCTCCCCTGGACACCTGTTGTCACGACCACCACTGCGGCTTCTCTGCTTTGAACTCCCCTTTAAAAACCCTTGCTTGTAACTTTTCAGGGAGTCCAGGATTACAGCGTGAGCTGCTGGTTCTCCTTGCTCAGCGCTTTGCAATAAATTTCCTACTTTCTTCCACTACACCCGGTGTCAGAGATTGGCTTGCTGTGCAACAGGAGAGCAAAATCACTTCAGTTTCAATACGAGGAGTGGTCTTAGGGACCCTGACACCCACTGATATTATTTTTGTACCTCATCTTATAACTGAGTTTGTGCTTCTTTCTTAGATTACATAATTGATATGGAAGTTCTGAGTTATTAAACCTAGAAAAGGTACACAACCATGCTGGTTGGATAACTACCCTGTTGCCCAAGTACATGAACTTATGAAGAACTGTCTGAACTGCCACGATCATTCAAAAATATTCTATACAGGAAGGGTAAAGATAAATTACTCTTCAAACAAAATGTGATGCATGCAGGGATGCTATGCAATGCTAGTATGTCTAGTGAAAAAACCACTGGGCACCCCAGTGGACTACTGAAGCTCAAACAAGGAAAAAACCAACTGTACCTCCCCTCGCCATTCTCTGTAATTACATCAGCTACTGAATAAATTGCTGCCACTACTGATAAATGTATGCAGCCAAGGTCTTAGCAAGACATGCAACATACCTTTACTATTCTTTCCTGGGAATATTTGAATTCCTGTCATTCGTTTTCAATGGGTAGGACAAAACCTAGCACAGCATGAACTGCTAGTGACATCTAGATATTCTATTACCTGAAGGAAGGGGTCAACACTGAAGAAGTATACTGCTTGCTTTCTAAGCACATCTGGTTAAAAATAACTTTAAATGAAAACATAATCCAGGGCCCTGTCATTCAAATGAATTGGGGGGAGGGGTCATCATTTAGACAGCACCAAAAAGACATATTCTATATCCTTTAAAGGAAAATTTATTGGCCCCGCAGCCCCCAACCATACAGGACTTTCTTTTTTAGGTACCCATGACATCACATTCTACACCTGATGATTCTTCAAAGCATCTGTATCAGTGCAACTAATTTTAAATGGAAGCTCTTACATTAAGAAGCCTTAGAAGAGTTCCAGGCATCACACAAACAAGTTTTAACTCTATTTATGCCATATTCTTCAGATTCATGGGATTACAGATACCTGTAAGCAAACTTTCGTTGACTGGAGCTTTTAGCAACAATACTTCAAGTTATTTGTCAGCTCCTGGATCTTCGAACTCAATGACTTCCTCCTACTGTTGAATGACACATGCCCTTTGGTCAGTGACTGCTAGTTTACGATTGGGCCCTAATGGGGCAGATTTTCTCACTTTTCAACCAAAAATTCCTATCCCATGATGGGTCTTCTCTTAACCAAAATCTCATAAAATGTTACAAGCCTAGGAAAATTCTATTGAAAAGGGGAGACAGCACATCCAATCCTGGATGGCCCATAAGGGCCAATCCTGGTCCTTACGACCTTATCCAAGTTCACAAAACATGGCTGCACACTCACTGGGCACAGAGATACTCCTCTCCTGTTTTAACCAAACCACTGACTTAGTAAGGCCCTTGCCTACAAGATTTGCCACCTAACAAGGAAATATGACTCACTGATGGAACAGCCTCTCTCAAAGGTCATAAAATCTAGTGGAGTGCTGCATTTGTCTACCAGAATGATGGTAAATTGTTAAGATCCCACAGAACTGGGCATTCCTCAAAATTGAATGAATTTAGGCATTGTTCATGGCCATAGAGCACTCTCTCCTTAGATTGAGTTATACTTTTACAAATACTCATGAGCCATTGCTAATGGCCTATTTACATGGTCAGGCTATTGGGCCACCCAGGACAGAACTTTTAAAGACACACATTTTTCTGAGACATCTGCTGCCCAAGGAAATAGGTATGACAACTTAGTAACAAACTCAATCCATATTTTTCACGTATATATGCCCACAAGAAGGAACTAAATCTAGAGGAAAATATCTGATATGGAAAAGCCAATCAAGAATGTGTGACCATCATCTCTACTATAGTCTTGGATCCCTGTTCAAATCCATCCCACCACGAAGGAACAGAATGTCTAATAAGGAATTTATTTAAAAGACACAGAAGCCACTGTTGCCCATCAAGCCTATTCTACTTGCCATCTAAGCCAGCCTCTTTAAAAACAACCTCCACAGTGATTGTCAGTCCAGATTTCCCTGGTTGTTTACAAGTTATAGGCTGCCATACCCTGCAAGGGCCCCTCTGTATTGGCTGAACTTCAAAGGACCTTGAAATCATTTTTTATTTCAAATCATTCCAAATAAATTGAAAGATCATTTCAAAATAAATAATATATTCCCCTTCACCCCTTGCTTTGGCCTCAGTGCATGGGTGGACACAACATATAGCTCATTTAAAAGATGGATATTTGTCTTTGCATCAGATGTTTCTGCAAACATCCTCTTCTGATCCTGCAGGTGACTTTGATGGCAACATAGTAACTCTGGGGTCCCTGCTGAACTTATCACTCCAGAAAAACAACAATCTGGATCATCTCCAAGGAAGAATAACAGATCTCAGTTTGTCAGGTATGAACATGTCTGACTCTGGGAAACGGCTAGAGGAGGGATGTCAAGGGAGATGACAAATTTCTCTTTCTTACCGCAGATATTGAACAGACATTCCAAAACAGCCTTTTGGGCTGTCCAGGAGGTAGAGCTTATAATGTGAATTTACTAGGATGCTGGTTCTTCACTTTCACCTAACCCAGCTGGGAACCTCACTGACATCCTTTTCTCAGGCAATACTGTGGAAATTGCTATGCTCAGGACCAGGTGTCAGCCAGAGCTAATGAAGAGACTTATTACATTAATGAGAGTCCAAGAACAAGAGGTAAACAGAGAAGAGGCAAATCTTTATTTTTGGATGGCCCTGGTGGCTCCCTCCTTTCCTCCTTTTGGTGGTTTGGCAGAGCTAGCTCACAAGGACCGTTCAATGGAAAAGCAGCCCTCATTGATATCAGCTATGGTAGTGTACAAAGTGCCTACTCTTCCAGGTGCTCCTTTTTTCTAGCAAGGCCATTGCCTCAATCAGGAATCTCTCACTGTTACAATGTTGACTAGGTGTTCTCTATCCACTCCCAATTTTCCTATAACTTTGTAAAGTGTTATGTGAGAAGGAAGTCTCTCTCAGGAGCACTTTTCATGGTAAAAGTGCTTGGTCCAAGCACACTTCTCTACAGAATAAGGATAGCTCAGGGGATATTGTACCCTCTGCTGTTTCTTAGTTTGTAAGGTTTCCCCTATAAAATCTACCTTATGCCTACAATTTGGGTCACTATTAATATATTCCTTGCACAACAGTTAACTGAGGAAATTATGAAATCTCTAGAGTTTTTAATGATAATGTAAATTTCCATTTGTAGAAGTTTATTCTGATAAAAAACTGGAAAGAGACAAAATATTTTAATAGTTTTTTCTTTCATAATTAGGTAATCCTTCTCTTGATAGATAATACCTTCTTTGACCACCCAATCTACAATACCCTTCCTTGTGATTCCCTATCAGTAACATATTACTATCTTCATTTATTACTCTCTAAAATTACCTTGTTTATATATTTTCACTTGTTTACTGTCTGTCTTTCCCATTATAATGTAAGCACCACAAAATAAGAGATCTTATTTGTGTTATGTATCAGTAAAACCCAATGCCAAGAACGGTGTCTGGCATATGAAGGTGGTAAAATATTTGTTGAATGAATGAGTTTAGTGTATAAATAAATTAGTAAATTTAATAATTAATCGCCTAATCTATGGAGAAAAAGTGTACACGTATTAATACAATTTCTCTTTTGTACAGATGTTTTTGTGCTTTATAACAAACTTAATTACTATTAGGAGGAAAAGTCCAAAAAAAGGATTTAGAAAGAAGTACGTTGGATGTGTAACTCTTAAAAATAAAACACCAAGAAATAGCTTACATTTTCATTTCTAAAAGGTATGAATTTCAATGCTGTAATACATTTAAGAAAAGCTAACAAAGCGTATGATGTGAAACACTAAATTATTAAAATCTATTGTGTTTGATTAAATATTTGCCACTAACTAATTCCCTAAGCCAAAATAAATTGCTAAATGTTGTAAAGCGCAAAAAAAAAAATGTACTTTATTTTAAGCAATACCATGTGTCTGCTCAGGTGGGATCTCCTTACTTCGCTCCCATCCACTCTCTGAAGGTTTGGGAGACTTTTCCAAAGTATTTCAGAAACTCTATTAGGATCTAAGAAGTAACCCAAAATGAAGTTTGATGAATAATATTGTGCCATGTGCTTAATAGTTTGAATTTTTTATTATATTTAGCAATATTCAACCTAAAGCTGTTAAGGGCAATTCTATAAAACCTACCAAGCTGAAACAACCTATTTCATGTCATACATCCCATCATTCTCCTCAGTCTAGATTCAAAAAAAAAAAAAGAATTACTGGCCTTTCCCTGGCACACTGTGTAGAATCTAAACATCCTCGTCTTTGCGTCAACAGTTCAGTCCACCTGTATCACCTTTTCCTCATATTCCCCTGTTAAAATGCAACCCAACTGTCTTTCTTAAATTAAATGCTGTGTTATTCTCAACCCAGCCAGAAGCAACTTTTCCTCCTTTTTGATGCAGCTTCTTGGTAACTTTTTATAGAATGCATCTTTCGCATTATACTCTACTTATTTTTGCATATCTTGTCTGCCTTACTAGAATGTTAATGCATTGAGGACCACACAGTTGTCATCTTTCTACTCCCTATAATATCTAGCACAGTGCCTTGCACGGCATGGACACTCAGACCATGTTTCCCTATTTGAACTAAATTGAATTGAAATAATCTTTCTCTTGAAGTTAGGAAACATTGTATCAATGAACAATTCTAGAAAAAAGCCATTTAAGAGGAATTGTTTGATTTTAATTCTATGATCTTTTTCTGCTCTTAATGTGATATATTCCCAGTCTGCTTGTCATATCATCCTCACTCTGCTGTTCCCATCCAACCCTCCTTCCATTCTTCCACTTCCTATTATCACTCTTAACTGCGACTTATCAGCCTAGTAGAATGGGGGCTGGCAGGAGCAGTGACTCACAGTAACACTATCATAACCCCTCTTCAAGATTTTTCCCAAAGTTCATAGAAAGTAACTGAGATTGCCTTACTATGTCTTCATAGAGACTAGAAATTCTCTTTAAAATATTTTTGTTTCAGCCAATGTTTCTACTTTATGAGATTCACAAAATATATGAAGAGTCTATCAAATTCATCAGCAGCAACTAAATGTTCAATATTAAAACAACTTATAGGAAAAGTTATCACTTCATGTTCTTCAGGGTGATAAATTATTGGCTTTTCAGGATTTTCAAAGCCAATACGTCACCATGTTTCCATAGAAAAATCATAGTGGTATGAAATGCTCTACCATAATCTTAACATGAATATAAGAGTATCATGCTTTATTTATTTCTGTTTCTATACAGTTCATAAGCTGGTTAAGTTCCCATTAAAGTTGAAGATAAGTATTAATACTTTTTATTATACCTTCTCAAATATTCATAATACCGACCATACATATTTATAATGTAAAAGAATAAATGACAAGAAATTTACCCATAATGTTTGCAAAGCAACAAATAAATAAACCAATGTCTAATTTTCTCCTGAGATATGAAAAACATATACTTTTTAAAATATAAATAATCATTACAGACATTAAAAATGGAACTTTTCAAAACTTCTGGCCATTCATCATTACATATATTACATAATTCTTGCTAATTTATCTGGGTCTGTAATCTAAAAATATTAAAATTAGTAATGAAGCAAAGAAATGCATTCTTTGAGGTCATTCTTTCCTCTTTTCTGTGTGGCAATCAAAGCCAAAATTTTACATCTTAAGATGTGTATAATTAAGGAATAAATGCCTCATGCACATTGAATTTGAACTCTCAATAATTTAAGTTAATGACTGAAAGGAAACACTGACACACTTTATTCTCACTGAATAGCAACCTAATTACTGACAGAATTTGCTGCTCCAATAATATCTCAGGTTCAGCCGTTCTGTTGCTTGACTGTTTTGTGAATAGGTCTGTGAATCAATCATGATACGTTAATCAGACTCACTCACTAGTGAAAACTATAAGATTTAATTAGATGAATCAATCAACTCAATTATTTATGTGCACGTATATGCATACATATAAAGTGACTGGGCAAAAATGAAAGGCAAAAAAAAAATTTTAAGTGAGTTGTTTTGTTTACTGAGGTCATGCATCTGAATGATGATAACTAACTTCAAAATAAGGATCAGTTCCTCACTATTTGGAAATTTAATGGCTGTTGTCAGGGGGAAAAAGTGGGTTTGTACACTAGACCTGGTCCTTAATTTAAATTTTTCATTTAAAAATTTTGTTTGACAGCATGCAAACACATTGATCTTTGATAACATCTGAAGTCTCAAACATTTTCTATTTAAAACTAGTTTCAAAGAAAAGAGTGCAATATTATAAGCAAAAATATAAATCAAGGAGTCTTATGATACTGAATTTAGAATGGCTATTTTTACCCTTTAGGTGTGCAAACTGATAAAGATTAAAAAAAGAATAAATTTTTTTTAAATGTTTTACCTTTTTCCAACTGGGCTTCCATTTTGGACAACTGAGATCTGTGATAAAGATAAAATCAAATTTAAGTACACCAAATATGCACATAAAATGTTTATATTAAATCATTTAGAAAAACATCCTTCAAAGCAGTTTTTTAAAAATATGACAATTTTGTAAGATTAAGGTGTCAAAAAAGCTAAGACATTATCACATTTGGCATTGGAAGGGACACTGTAGAAGAAGAACTGCTACCAAAATTATATTTCTTTTTTTTTTACTACTACATAGATATTTATTGGTGGTTATTAACTTAATTAATGTTTACATTTCTCTTAGAGAACATCGGATTCATTTTTTTTCTTTTTAAGAAACGATCAGGTTTCTTTCTGGAAAATAAACCTACATATTAGCTTTGTAAGGCAGGATACTACACAGTAGTATACTCTGCAGAGAAAGATATCACTGATCTTTGGGATAAAAAGACAACCACTCATATCAAAGTTGGACCACAGTGGAAGGTAGGTCAACCACCAAAATTATATTTCTAAATGAGAGCAAAGAGGGTTTTATACTTATAGCAAATAAAAATTATTTTAAACTTATCTGTTACATCATTATTTAATCTTTTTAATACTCTTTTTGAAGCAATTATATTTCAAATGCCAATAGTATACTAATATGGCAGTACTAACACATAGTATACTAATATGTTAGTACTTTTTTCTTAATTTACAAGATTTTTATAAGTATATTGACATTGCACGCTCAAAACATGTTTATTGAGGTGTGTGATCAAAAATACCAGGAAACTAGTGACCTCAAGAGTGTGATTTTATTAATAACTTACCTCTTGGGAAGATAACAGATATTTTCCTATAGCATAAATGTTGACTCTAGATTTTTATCCCAGGCCTGAATTTTACCTAACTCAGTTTCTTTTCTACACAGATTAGCTGGCTTTATCCTTACCCACCTATGGCAAGAATTTCTAGGTGTTCACCAAACTTTCTTTTCTTCTTAGGTATATTATGATCTATATCTCTAAGTCCCTCCTACAGTTACATGTGGTAAATGAAATATGAAAGAAAATGATGTGCACCACTTCCAGCCTGGTCAATGAAAATGACTCATGTTTAGTCTTCCATGTTTTTTTCTGGTAGCTGGATGTCTAAGTCCAGTGTGGCTCAGGAAGCTAAATGTAAGATGACAAAGCCTCCATATGCCAGGATACCTGAATGACTTGGTGGAACAGGACGCCCTAACACAAACACTGACCCTGAACTTCCTGGGACCATTTACATGAAGAAATAAGCTTCTATTGTGAGTGAGCCATTACATATTTTGGGCCTAATGTCACAAGAGTTAGCCTCTATATTAACTAACATACCACCAAGGGTTTTCATATGGCCTATGTAGATAACTAGGACAGAGCTAAATGATGCTGAAACCTAACATTCACATAGTGCTTTACAATATACAACAGCAGTTCATAAACATTATCTCATTCCACCCTAACGGCATTTTTATAAAGTATTATCATCTTCCATTAATTAAAGGTTTTATAGAAAAGTATGCTTAGTTCCTGACAGAAATAATAATAGGTCTTACCCCTCCCTTTAATTAAAAAAAGTCTATTACTCCAATAAACAACTTTAAAAATAGGTACAAAAACAAAAAGGAACTACTTCTTAAGCATGTCATTAAGATGTATATATGACAGACCTTTTGTGTAATGTAATCTAGTGTCTAGTAGTAGGAGTTCCAAATATTTTTCCTTTACTCCGTTTAGATTTTTTTTTAAGATTTTATTTATTTATTTATTTTTTCCCCCCAAAGCCCCAGTAGATAGTTGTATGTCATAGCTGCACATCCTTCTAGTTGCTGTATGTGGGAC